ATAAGAGTATACATATGCAAATGCATATACATAGAAACATGGATACATTCTTACATACACATACGCACAGACGCACGTTCACACAGATACATACATTCATGTACACACATCCACACAGAATAACACGCATACACACACATCCACACAGAATAACACGCATACACACACATATAATCACATTCACAAACATAGACACACGCGTATTCCAATTGCCTGCTTGTGTACATGCGCATTTCAACGTGCATCTTTCCGTCCAAATAAAGAATACTCTTCCTCCAACATACTCTTTCAAGTGCGCCCAGTTCATCTGAAACTTTAGTCTGCGTTGAAAACGGCAAACTACCAATCACAGCCTTCAGCCACGGCTTATGCTGTGACCAGGCTACTATTGTTTCGCTACTGTCTTCGACGTAATTAAGTGCTGAATAGAATGGTTTGAAGAATTTCCACTGAGCTTCATATCTTGTTTCGGTTTTGGGCTGCATGTGATACAGAACAAGCTGTGCGGGGACTGCGAGAAGCACAATAATCATCGATAATGTGCGCAACATCTTTACGGTGTATGTAATACGTGTCTTAAACAGGTTGCCTTAGTGCTTCTCAAAGTGACTTTCACGCCACCTCCTCTATCCAGTCCTTGTGATTTGTGAAAATACTGCTACATACACCTATGGATTTAAAAATACAGGGGCATGGAATCTCGGACAGACGAAAAAGTGCTTTGGCATTTTCTGTGAATTGAGAATCCCTAAACCCTATATACAATCAGATACAAATTACAATGCTCCACACGTCATCAAAATTTAGTTTTTACCATCAAATGCCTCTGACACCAGCGGAGTAAATCTAAAAATATTAGTTAATCATATGTCGATAATCTACCAAATCTTTTTGTTTTTAGAAAATTAGAGTAATATGTACCGTATACATACTGTATGCACACTGCACTGCACAGTCCACAGGGGGAGGGTCATTCGGTCAGGGTAGTCGATAAACCATATCATCGCCTCTAATTTTTAATTTAGTTTGGACTTTTGAGAGCACACATGATATCGTTGTTGGATATTATATTAACTGCTTCTCGTGTGTACTTAGTGATAAGTAAGTCATACGTAAGTTCCTTACCCTCGTCAGAAGTACATGGGATTGTTGTACATACATATCTGTTTGTTTGTAGTGAGTATAAAGTTACACATAATATATATTACCCGCACTTAGATTGAATCGGAAGTTTCGTTCACATCACAATGTCCTCAAACGATGCTCGAACGAAAGAGTTCAAAAACAGAGGTCTCGACCAAGATGCCCTACGAAGGCGCCGTAATGAACAGAATGTTGGCTTACGGAAACAAAAGAGAGACGAGAATATACAGAAACGCAGACAACTGACTTCTAGTAGCCACAATGGGGTAGCGGAAAGTGCAGAGGAGGTCGTTACAAACTCGGGGCTTTCGATTGAGCAATTGCCTGAGATGACAGCCATGCTCATGGGTGAAGATAGAACTAGGTGGTTGACAGCGACAAAGATGTTCAGGAAACTGTTGTCCAAAGAGAAGACACCACCCATTCAGGAGGTGATCGAGATGAATGTGGTGCCGAGATTAGTACAGTTTCTATCATACGAGGCAGACCCTATGATTCAGGTATGTTCTATTCTTGGGGTAGGATAACTAAATACATAACCCGGAATGGCAAGCACAACTTGTGTGGATATATATTTGCCTTGTGATTTCTTTTGTGTCTGTATGGTATCGTTTATAGGCGTTGTATACTTGTGCACACTTTTTTAACTTTATAGACATGTTTATATACCGATACGAACAGACATAGATATGTATACACAGATTAGTACAGTTTCTATCATACGAGGCAGACCCTATGATTCAGGTATGTTCTATTCTTGTGGTAGGATAACTAAATACATAACCCGGAATGGCAAGCACAACTTGTGTAGATATATATTTGTCTTGTGATTTCTTTTGTGTCTGTATGGTATCGTTTATAGGCGTTGTATACTTGTGCACACTTTATGTATATGCATATGCATATGCATATGTATATGTATATGTATATGTATGTATATATGTATATGTATATGTATATATATATGTATAGTATATGTAAATGTATATGTATATGTATATGTATATGTATATGTATATGTTAATATATATGTTGATGTATTTGTTGATGTATATGTAATGTATATGTAATGTATATGTAATGTATATGTAATGTATATGTAATGTATATGTAATGTATATGTAATGTATATGTAATGTATATGTAATGTATATGTAATGTATATGTAATGTATATGTAATGTATATGTACTGTATATGTAATGTATATGTATATGTATATGTATATGTATATGTATTTGTAGATGTAGATGTATATGTATATGTAGATTTAGATTTAGATGTAGATGTATATGTATATGTATATGTATATGTATATATATGTATATGTATATGTATATGTTTATGTATATGTATATGTATATGTATATATATATATATATGTATTTATATTAATATATGCATATTTGTATATATGTATATTATATACGTGTACATACAAACACATACACACACATTCACATCTATCCATCTAGCTATCTACCCGGCTATCCAGCTATGTATATATATGTATGGATGTATGTATGTATGTATGTATGTATTTTTTGTATGTATGTATGTATGTGTTGATCTATGTATTTATCTATCTATGTATCTAACTATTTATCTATCCATCCATCCATCCATCCATCCATCCATCTATCTATCTATATATCTATCTATCTATCCACCTGGCCATCTATCCATTCATTTACCTATCTATCTTTCATCTATACGCGCGTACACACACACACACACACACACACACACACATACAATATATATATACACAACTCATACACACACACACACATACACACACACACACACTATATATATATATA